AATTAAAATCAAGAAATATGGAATAAATTATTGAGGGCTGCAGCCATTAATCTGAGAAAAATCGAGAGGATTTTTTGGAATACTTGAAATTTTTTAAAAATTTAATTCAAATCATCATACAAATTTTTAACTATTTGCATATTTCAAGGCTATGAATCATACTAGACGGTGGCCTATTGGATTGCAAAAACTTCTGTCAAAATGTAGAACCCTACAGGCACACTCCATAATTAACCTTCGTTTCGTTTTATGGAGGATTGAGGCGATCATATACCATAACTGGAAAACACCATAATAGTATAGCCATGACTGGTACATCTACCCGATTCCACTTCCAACCCCGCCGCTCATCACATCATACCGGTCAGAGGCTGCGTACTCTTGGCATTGGTTTAACTGCTAGGGCAGAACATCTATCACTTCACACCACTCAAATTATTCCAATTATTGATGAAACAGTACAGTAACTCCTTCATATATGCGGTAGGTGATACCGTCTACGCTGTTTCTCGGCTGTCTTTGAACAAATTACGCTTATTTTTTGTATGTGATTAGTGTCAGCCCTAAACTAGTTATCAACAGAAAATCAGCTCAATTTAGCTTGAAGGACAGCCAAGAAAAAGCGATGGGTGGATGGTACGACCCACCGCATATATGGAGACGTTACTGTATTTTTATTTGAATTTGCTTCATCAAATCGATTTGGCAGTATCAAAGGTGTGATTGATCGGTACGGTTGGAAATTCCTCCACGAATAAATATGAGCTGAAAAGGAACGCTCGAGTTTTCGGCATGCTTGGAACAGTTCCACGCCAAATTACGAATCGATCAAACCTGACCGTTCTCCGATTTATTATGGGCGATCAATTACATTTGTTCTCAAATGTGACCATTGTAAAATATGCAAAATTTTCAAAATGATGCATTTGTTTTCATGATTTGTTTACCGTACTGAGTACCAATGCTACCGACGCCAGAAAGGCTACTCCCACACCTGGACCCTACCTATCGACCCATCAACTCATGGACCTGGGACCAACGGCTTTACTTCCCTCGTTATCAGAAATGTTATGCCTCAGAAAATCCCGGCGGCGCCGACTGCGATAGAGCCCAGGCAATCACGCTCACCACTACACCACCATGCATTTGAAAACCATTACTTTTAAATGACGACGTAATGACGTCTAGTAAAATCGTTGATCCCCGGTCCATGAGTTTATGGGTCGATAGGTTGGGGTCCAGGTGTGGAAACAGCCTCCCTGGCGTCGGTAGCATTGGTGCTCAGCATGGAAAACAAATCAAGGAAAATAAATGATATCTTGATTAACAAGATTTGCTTTTAAGATGTTATCGGGTTGTTATTTTACTTTGCTCGGGTTAGCAACAAACTGAAGCCACGGAAGAACGTGGTAGAAGAAATATGTAGTGCGTAGAAATTTAAATTAGGGTGCGTACACTGATTTCAAATTGATATCGAATTCTATATCAAAGAGGTTGACAGTTGGATTGCATTTAAGAAAATATTTCTCTCTTTGAGCCTACCGCCAATTTTACAAACATGACACAATATTCACTTGATATCCGACTCTATGTACTTTTTTGTAGGAACACAAGACATTTCAATCACTTTTGACGTAGAATTACGTCTTTCTGCAACATATCTGTCACTCTCATTCCAAACAACATACAGCTCGCCAGCCTCATATGTGTTGAACACCTTAATAGTTCAGCATTACTCAACCATCGCGACAAAACGGACTTTTTCAGGACCACCATAAATTTGTTTAAAGAGTATTTTCTCGAGATATGTCAAGGTTATCAATCTGATGTCAATTCCCATAAGTTTAAATCTAACACACCATGTATTTTAAAGGCAACATTGAGGTTGTAATTTGAAAATCCAAAGTCGGTCGCAGCATGAAAGTGGTCTGATTTTGATCCAGAGATGATGGATTTTAATTCTTAATACGCAAAACGATAGAAAACGTTTACATGAATCTGTTAAAATTAGGGCTTTATCAATTTTCCAAAGGTAATTAAGATTTTTTAATGAATGATCAGTTCCGAGGCTGCCGACAATAGTCACGCTCACCTGAGAAGTTTGGAACGGTGTGAAAACGTTTTCAAAGAGTTAAGGAGTCCCTGTCCATTAAAATGGAAGTAAGCAGCAAATAAATGTAAACAAACAATCACGTCAAATGTGTGCGTGACGCTGCGAAAATGCTAAAACAATCATTGACGCTGCTTAGATTGACGAGAATACGTAAATTCCCCTGTGTAAAAAGATGGCGTTTCGAAAACCGAGATGCCAATTCTATTTTTTTTTCCATGGTTTTTTTTTCTTCTTATGGATCAGTGGTGCGGTATTCACCATTTTGATCTGTAATGAGAAGATCTAAATTTTTAAATCTGAAGCTTTTAGACAATAAATGGAGATGCCCTTTGGATTGGTCTGCTTTACAGTACAACACCCTGCTTTTAAAATTGCACTCTCGATTTTTATTGAGGTCTCCCAAAAATTGTGCCAAATTTGAGTGAAGTTGTTTAAGATCTGGAATGGCGGGAAAATTTTAAAACGGGAAACGAAAAGAGAATATTTATTTTATTTACACTCAAAAAAGTCCACACGTCTGATAGATGTGTTTAAACACTTGATTTTTCAATCACATTTATTTTAAGTGTATTTCACCATGGTTCAATATGTTCTACACGTTGATTTCTGGTGTTTGAAAGTTTTAAATGTTGATAATCTTTCTCTATCAATTTAAGTGCATTGCACATTGAATCACACTACTGTTGAAAACAGATGGAGTGTTTGCATTTCAATACGATGTGAATTGCTTGTTCTGCAAGGTAAACATCGAAAACATGAGTTGTGACTTCATTCTTATCAACCAGTCTCATAAATGCGAACAACCGTGGCCAAGTGAAATCAAACAAAGGCAACGGCAGCAGCACACCCCATCAGTCAAGGATCAATTTCCAAATCAGACCCATTAAAAAAAGCATGGGTAAGCTCTGCTCTCTGGGCAGCTTTGTTTATATATTTGTCGATTCAATTTCAGAGTAAGTCAAGTAGAAGTCAATAAAGTAGAATATTGTACAACATTGAACTATGTGATGTGCAAAGCTATATCACAATGTGAGGCACATAGACTCCAAGTGTGTTACAATTCAAACCAATAGTGTTGAGACATGGTTCACAGCATAAGATTCACACATGAAATGGATGTGTTTCACAATAAGGGCTCAATGAAGAGTGAGACACATAATGCTGACATGTGGAATATTTTGAGTGTAATACTCAGATAGATGCTCAACAAATCTATACTCTAACATTATAGTACCCATTAATGAGCCATTTTGAAGTAAAGTAGACTAACCCATTATATGGGTAAAATTTTCACCTTTTAATGAATAACTTTTACCCACTAATGGGTTATTTTTTACCCATCAAATAGGTTAATCTACTTTACGTCAAAATGAGTAAAATTATACCCATTAATGAGTACTTTCCAGTTACAGTGCAGTGAATCATTCTTCAAAAAATCTTCTTTCATTTCTAGCATCTACTTGCATCGCGCATCATCTTTTTGAAGGAAATCTTCAGAATCGTCATCAATCTTCTTTCTATCTACCTAGCGTGCGCGGAGCTAACCACAGCAAAACACATTTTTCCCTGCATCATAGACAGAGTTGCTCCTCGGATAGGGCAAACTTTGCAGAACAACTATATTGAAGATGGCAAATCGATATGATTTCTGTGCATACAATTATTAACCATTTAGCATTCAGCATTTAACGCAGCATCCCAAGCGCATGCTCTCTGTTTTGATGTACTTCTGGAAAATGTCTCGATGGGGGAATTGGAAAATTTTAAAAATAGGGGGGACTTTCTTGGGTATCGTGCTAGCCAGACAATATATGAGAACTTTGTTGTAAAAGGATCGCTGGGCTTGTTTAGGGGTGACATCTTTGACATGATTGTGTAAGCTTTAGAAAGGATAAAAGATTTGGTTTCGTTAGTTTGTTGAACCAAATGGCATTGTTGTGAATGCCATTAAACGTCAAGTGATTGTTCCCCCCCCCCCCCTCCTGTTTCATTCGGCATGCAAACCAAATTTAAGCCTTTGGCCGCTGGCTGGGTGAAAGCTGATGACCGAGCGGATAAAAGATTTTAAAATTAATTGTTATTCCTTTTGTTGGTCAGCTCGGTCGTCAGCTTTCACTCTGCCAGGGGCCTTGGAAGCTTCTCAAATAACATTATGCTGAGGTGAAGATGCAAAGTTCCAGTTAGGATGTAATAGTCATGAACATAATATTAATAATAATTGTTAGCTTCTTTATGTCATTAGTTCAGAGTAGATAAAGTGAATTTGACTATTTGGGCTATTTTTCTAATTGGCAGCAATTTCCGTAAAATAATCTTTTTTGCAAAAAAAGGAAGCAACTCAATATAATTTTCACTTTGCTAGCATCTCACAAGATATTATCTTGACGGTTTGATGTCACATCGAGTTAAATAATCTTTCATTGGATAAAAAAAGTGTATTTGCCTACGAACGCAAAAGTATTATCAATCGAACAAACATATCAGATCAAAAAATAACGCAAACATTTTTATTAAACAAATTGTATTAGTCCAATAAGTAGAAGAATGTTTTCATCAATCATTGCCGGTTGTAATTCGTTTTTTAATCAAATACCCCTAACCAGTAGCACTAAGTAGTTGATTGCCATAGTATTCTAACATTAGGGAGTGAATTTATTTTATTCTAAGCAAAACACATGACTGAAAATGGTGTGCAACATTTTACTCACTAAAGAACTGAATTGTTGGTGTTGTTTGACAACAGTAGGAAATTTTCTACCAAATTGGTTCTTAACTAATATAGTAAAATTTAAATATAATTGATTCTTACCATTTTAAGGCTTACTGATATCGTTATGTATTTTTATACTGAAAGAAATTCCATCCAATATTATAAGTTTTTTTTTTTGTCTTTCTACGTTCTCACTGTTTGAATAAAACTGTCCGAGATCACTTCCAGCTCATTTAGACCGGTGTAACAGCTGGCATTTTAACTATTTCGATGGGTAGCTCAACGAAACTCTTGATTCCGGCCAAAACCCATAGTTCAATGGTCACGAATCCTAAAATATAGCACATCACGGTTATTTACGATTCAAAAACATATCAAAGCCAACTCCCACTTACCTACAAACAAAACCACGGCAATGATCAACAGCAGCACACTGAACACCACCGCAACCGTGGTGGCAGTATTGGCGTTGTCCACAATCACTATCAGCTGGTTGATGACCATGTAAACCAGTCCACATGTGCTGCGAAACAGAACGAAGATCCTGTAGACGATTATGTACTCGAGTTTCTCCTTTAAAAAAAAACAAAGATCGAAAACAAACAGAACTTGTACCACCCACTAACAACACATAATGGTCATACCCTCTTAATGCCAATCACCAGCATAATCGTGAACGCGAAGCAAAACAGAGCAAAGATCGACTTAAGCGCCAAGACCGTGTTATTTTCATGTTCTGCAAATAGACACACACACACACACGTGGGAAAAGAAGGAAAATCGCAAACATTAAGCCAGTAAACTATGAGAAATGTCATGTATTGCCAATCGACCCACCGCTTCCGAACGAATTGAGACACCGAATTGCGACGCTGAAGGCAATGATAATGTTGAGCACTGCGTACACGTACCCGACAACTCCAAACAGTCTGATTTGCGCCATGTCGAACGAATGGAAAACGCTTATCCCCGGAGGTCAGCCGCCGGCCAACAGCTGCCGTCGGTCGTCGTGGCGGAAGCGAAACTCTGATACAAATGCAGCCTGACAGACGACGACGGCGACGGCGGTGGCATCGCGTGACGATGTTTGTGTTGTGTCCCTGAGTAAATATTTGTGTGACACAGTCTGTGCAAGTGAAGTAGCACTACTTTTCCCGATTGTGTCACTCACAAGTGGATGGGGACCGCAGCTGACGTCATATAGCGAAAAACCGACCACGCCAATTTGTGTCACACGGGGACAGGGATTGTAGAGCCGCTTTTCAAATGGGAATGATTGGTGATCATGCGGCTCCATATAATGTCGAGCATGGCGTTCCACATTCTTAATAAGATTTATTTGTCCATTGATGGTCATTTAACCAATGATGGAAAAGTTTAAACAAATAAGCTGTAATCCCATAAAAGATGTTCAATACCGATACCCGTTAATATGAAGCACCCTGCATGAAGCATAATGATGATGCGCAGGCGTGATTAAGAATGCACACCACAAAAAATGGTCAAACCACAGTGGTCCTATTTTTTCCGACCTCACATAACTTTAAACATAGTTGTAAAATGAACCTTAGGATCTCAGCTTTCCATAAAAAAAAATAGTAAAATTTAATTTAATTTTTGTGAAATAGTGAAATTGCTCCAATTCGTTTTGCACTGTAGTGCGCATACTGTGGCTAGCGGTTTTTCGTCTCTTGAAACGTTCCCTGGCTCGATAAAAGCGACCGTCCGTTGAGTCTTGTTTGCCCGAATGGAAACCCATTCAATCAGCAATCAGATCCAAAAGTTTAAATTGAGAAGGGGTCGAAATTCTCCACAAGAAGAGGTCGCCTCAATCGTGACAAGAGCATTTTTTTTAATTCTTTATTTGTTCCAAATTCAAAATAAATTACATTTCATTTTAACCTAGGTGCTCCAGTTACTACATTAACTTACCAGCCTTAATTGTTATGATATATATCTAAGTATTTTTACATTGTTCCTGTCTTGGAAATTCAGCATTTTAAACAGGTTTTTTAAACCTGCATGTCAGTATAACAATTGATATTAAAACTAAAAACTAAAACTAAATCTTATCTAAGTATAAAGAGAATTAACCGTTGCAATTGAGGATTGCAACGATTTTTGCCTGAAATTATTAATTATTTTGTTGGACATTTGTTCTAAAGTCTCAATATTCGAAATTCTATGTACTTCGGTACACGGGAAAAAATCCGTTGTCATTTTCATGAATAAAAAATCATGAAACCATAAAAAATTCATCCCATGAAATCATGAAAACAATTCATGCTTTCATGAAACAAGCGACGTATATCATGAACAAAAATAATCGCTATCATGAATATAAATCATGGCCGTTAGCAAGCGTTACGCGTACGCGTTTGCCTGTCAAACCGTGCTTATAAAATTTCAGCGTCCATTGCGGTCGGGTGTGAATTTGGAAAAGGAAGCGAATAGAAGCAACGTGTGATCCGTTTCAGTGTCCGGTGCTGGTTTAATCATTTTATTACAATAATGGAACTGGATCAAGTACAATATCTTGCCCTCGATGGGCCAATACTGCCAACAGCGGCAGCCCTAATTACGGAGGAACAGAGGACATACAGAGTAGACTTAGATCCCGAAGCCCCAGAGCTGGATTTTGAAGCTATTCTGTATCGGGCTGGCCTGGACAATTACGCCAGTATTGTGATAAATGACCATGGCATTCAAAATGGCAGAGAGTTCAGCGAGCTTCAGGAAGGAGATATAAAACTCTTCTGCAAAGTAGCACGGGATAGAGTCATGTTTCGCAAACTGCTGAAAAATTTGGTAAGAAATTTTTGTATTTTTTTTTTTAAATATGTAATCTATCATTCCAAATTAGTAGCTTCCCGCATAGTAGTATTTACAGTACCCGTTCGTTTTTGGCACGGTTCGATTTTGGCAGCAAAATCACAAAACCGTTCGATTTTGGTGCGGAATCGATTTTGGCACCGTGCCAAAATCGAACGGTTTTTGAAAATTATGCATTCTTGCTCCTTGTGACTACAGTTTATAATAAAAGATTAATTCAATCAATAGTTTTCATAAGGGCGTAATTGCTTTTGTAAACAATGGCTTTAGTCGTGGATTTCTCGCGAATCAAAGCTCATACATGCAAATGAACGATGCCAGCAGATAGAGGAAACATTCATCTACCTGATAGCGTCACACAGCCCAAAAATTATTTTGATATCACATCAAAGTGGATGCACTACAATCATGTCGAAAATTTCATGTAATTTTTATGACCACATAAATAAACAAATGCAGTAAAAGCAGCGTAATGTCAGTTCATGTATTGTATTAATGATAATTTTGTCCTTTTTAGCAAGTAATATTTTCGACATGATTGTAGTGCATCCACTTTGACGTGATATCAAAATTATTTTTTTGCTGTGCATTCATTTGCATGAGTGAGCTTTTATTCGCGAGAAATCGACGACAAAAGCAATTACGCCCTTATGAAAACTATTGATTGAATTATAATTGAATTCTAGATTAAAAAGGTAAGTCAACTCTTCCTTATACGATGTCTCCGTTACTCGATATTCTCACAAAGTCGATGGTCCCTTCAATATTGAGTTAGGGAGCGTTAACTGTATGTACGAGAGTAGGATTAAGTGGCGTAAGACAAGTCAACTTGTACGTTTGTTCATTGATTGGATTATTGACAAAATCAACAGATTCAATGCCAGATGATGGTTTGTCTTTTCAAACTTACAATGAGCCTAACAATGTTGACAACCCACAAAATTAATAAGCCAGCATCTATTAAGCAGGTTACGCAAAATAAGGGAAAGTTAGTTTCGTCACTCCTTCTCCTTGGAGTGTGAGGAACTTAATGGATCGCCCCTTAATCAGGTAACTGACCTATCTTACCCCTCGATCTATTTTGCATGAACTTTCCCTATAATATAGCGGAAGCAGTTGCCTCTGGGTCATTAGCACTTTTACCGAAACCACACACAGTCAGACTTGGTTGTACAACTTGGTCGAGTCGGACGAAAAGTCTGACCGTGTGTGGGGAAGTTGTACTACATGTCGTACAACTTCCCCACACACGGTCAGACTTTTCGTCCGACTCGACCAAGTTGTACAACCAAGTCTGACTGTGCGTGGGCCCTATTAGTACGCTACAAAGATGACCAGCGGACCAGGATAAGGGCAATGCAAGCCGACTAGATGGCCGTCCCTTTGGGGTCATAGAACCAAACCCAACACAGCATGACGTTTCCACACAGGATTCGATATTCAGCAAGGTGCAGGAACTGGGTCGTGAAGGCAACCATGAACCGCTACTAATCGAGTAAATATGTACCTGTCTAGACGAACTTCATCCTAGGTGACGCCAGATAGCACAGTTGTTTTGCTGGATGTCTTCAACTTTGCTGTAGCTTCCGCCAGGATGCAATGATATGTGAGCGACTTGTGTTCTGCATGTTGCAATCACTGAATCCGGGCGTGATGGACCAGCCATGGTCGTAGGAAAACTGTTGAGGCTGCTGGTACTGAGTGCTGACCGGGGTCGGTTCCTCCCGTTCCTCCATTTTCAATCAGTGTCGTCGACAGGTGGGCAGGAAACCGTTCATGTAGAGAGCGCTTCTACTGGTCAGCATGCAGAAATGAGGGGTAAAATGTCAAAAGGGCCTATCTCGATTCGTAAACAATGCCTTCTAACGGTAATTTCTCACGAATGTCAATACACCCACGCAAACCAACCGCACCATCTGATAGAGCAGAGTTTTCTCTATCAGATGGTGCAGTTGGTTTGCGTGGGTGTTTTGACATTCGTGAGAAATTACCGTAAGAAGTCATTGTTTACGAATCGAGATAGATATTTTGACATGTTAGAGCAGAAATGAGGGGTAACATGTCAAAAGGGCCTATCTCGATTCGTAAACAATGACTTCTAACGGTAATTTCTCACGAATGTCAATACACCCACGCAAACCAACCGCACCATCTGATAGAGCAGAGTTTATAGAGCAGAGAAATGTCATGACTAGTTTGACACAATTTCTGACGGTATAACTACTTTTCAGTTGGAACGTCAAACAATTAGTGAACTCCCAACTAAAAAGCGGCTCGACAAGAAGACCCCCAACCAGCGAATGATAACTGTATTGGAAAAGTGCAGATTATATTCTCGAACTCATGTGGCAATATACAAGTTTCGTGATAAATTTACTCGTTTATAAAATATTGATCTATTGACATTATGCATTATACGTAACATACCATATTATCCTATATATTATTTTGCTTTAAGAAAACCTTATTTGATGAGTCAAGTGATGCGGAACAAACAGAAACACAGAAGCCCGTGGAGCTTATTGAAGAGTTTTCACCACCAAATGCAAAAAGGGTATTTCTGCTAACTTAATTTTTAAAATCATAAAAAGTGAAAGAGTTTGTTCCATTACAGTTCAAGAACTTTAAGGAATATCTGCACAGCAGATCCGATGGCAAAGCTGTGCTGAGATACTACGAAGAACATGAAACGCTTACTAACGCGTTGCGAAACGAGTTAGTAAAGATGATCCTGATGGACGCAGCCATGGAGGGCATTGAAATGAATGCTAAATTCAACGAGCTCATGAGCAAGAAGATAGCTGCCATATTTCCAGTCAGTAAAAAAATCATGGCTTATGAGAGCAGTTTCATGGCAACAGGCGATTCGATTCTTTCCTCCCTAAACTTCCTTGAAACTACGTATAATTGTTTGCAATGAGCAATGTTTTTTTCTTCTTCAGAATTCAGCCATTTTGATTCTCATTCAATTATTCAAATCGGTGCATTCAATATCAGTGCTAACATTTGAAAACGGCACAAAAGCCATTTGTAAACAAATGGTTTGTGGGCCCTTTACTCACTACTTGAAGTACACCCACGCGACACAACATGAAATAAACCAAGAAAACACGAAATGACCCACAAAACCCTGTTTTAATCGCTACGACCATCACTACCACTACCAATTGAATATCATTATCTTAAAAAAGAAGCAAATAATTTGATT